GAATGGCTATTATCAAGAAAACAACAAAAAATGCTGGCCAAGAGGGAACCCTTACATGCTATTGATGGGAATGTTAAATTAGTATAGCCACTATGGAAAACAGTTTGGGGTTCCTCAAAAAACTAAAAGTAGATCTACTATATGATCAAGCCAACCTGGTCATACAGAAGGAATCGAGTTGGTATAAAGAAAAGAGACCCACCCAAAAAGAGGCCCTTATTTATTGTGGCACTATTGGCACTATAGCCAAGTAGTGGAGTTAGTCTAGATGCCCATCAACAGATGAACAGATAAAGAAAATGCTACATATATACACAATGGAGTACTATTCAGCCATAAAAATAATCTAAATTTTATCATTTACAGGAAAATGAATGAACCTGGAAATCATCACTTAAACTAAATAAACCAAACCCAGAAAGAGAACAATTATATTTTTTTTTCTTATGTGAAATCTTAACAAGAAAAAGATAGCATAATAGTAGAAGAGGGGTTTTTAAGGAAGGGGACTGGGAAAGGGCCAGTAGAGACATATAATCAAAGCACATTATATGCATGCATGGAAACGTCAGGGTCAAACCCATTAATTTATACAATTAATATGCACTAAAAATTAAACTTTAAAAATTTTAAATTAAAAAAAAGCAATCAAGTTTCCTAGGTACTTATTACATTACACAACTAAGCATCCCTTACCCCCACCAAATATAGCACTATAAAAATTCCTGCCTGTTTGCTAAAAGCCTCTACTTGCTTGAGAAATATCCTTTTGTGATTTGGAGACAAAGCTTATGTTACTGATGAGATTAAAAACAGATTTCATTATAAAAGTTTATGATGTTCCAGTCTGTTCAGTGTGTACAGTTGGAAGAACACTTTGCCTATCCGAAGTCCCTTATTTGATCTTCTCTTGCCCACTCTCCTGCCCGCTGTACATCCGTAAACCCCTGCCTCTGTTCATATAGCTGAGAACCTGTCCATGATCATCCTCAACCCGGGGGACCTAGTTACAGGCTCCCATTTCTAATTTGTACTGTGAAGGCATTGAAGTAAATGCCTCCTGGGAATGTTTCTTATTAAAACTTTTTTTTTTTTTCCCAATCCAGCTGCCCTGTGCAATGGATTCTGATATAAGCCTTATAGCTGCATACCTCCTCTGCATCTGGTCACTGAGTTGCGATTGCTACTCTGGCTAGCAGCCTCTATAACCAGCAAGCCAGGCATGGAAGCACAATCACTATTGATGAAGTTTCTGACCTTTGGTCCAGTGATTAAAAATAACAGTTTCAGTCTAGTCGCAGAATAGTACCTACCCTAATTGGCACAGCAATCTGAAAATTATTCGGCCAAGGAGGGTTCTGCCTTTTCACCTGTTTCCTCCATTTGTGCTTTATTTGTTCATTGGCCTGCTCCTGCCTTCCAGCTTTTCTTCATCCACGCCCCTCCTCTGCTTACAGCTCACACAGAGCTTTTTGCTATTCAGTCTGCTTTTTCTTTTTTTTTTTTTTAATATTAGTTGTAGATGGACACAATATCTTTATTTTATTTGTTTATTTTTATGTGGTGCTGAGGATCAAACCCAGGTCCTCACACGTGCGAGGCAAGTGCTCTACCACCAAGCCCCAGCCCCTCAGTCTGCTTCTTTTAACTTCAGTAACTTCTGTTCCTTCAGAAATGAGAAAAGAGGTAATAGGTTCCTCTGGCTCCTCCCTTCCTAACCATGTTTCACTCCCACTCGACACTCTACACGGTGAAGGTTATACTTGATTAATATACTTAGGCGCTTAATTGTGTTCCATCAGTGGTCACCACATTTTTTCATACCTCCAGAAGCCCCTTAGGAAAGGTGACTTCTAGCATGCACATTGAGACACTTCCAGAGCATCACAGAAGATCAAATGCCAAATTAATGAATGAAATCTGAGCTTTTTGGTCCTGTTCTCCAAGAAGACTAGCCAATAGTATGTAATTGAGCAACGTAAATGTGGGAGTCAGACTGAGCATCCCATCCCTGAGAAAAGGATGTGACATATCAGAGGTAACATTATATAAACACTTTCCTGGGTATTTGGAAATCTCTTTGACAGAAGCTGGGAAACCAAAACACAGACCTGAAATTACCAAGTTAGGAGGAAGGCCACAGGCAGAGAGTAGCACACACTCCTGGGCTCAGCAGATAGACTGGGCTCCTCCCACAGTGCTCTGAGCTGCAGGTCAAGTCTTAGAGAGCTCTGCATGACCTCACCCCAGCGTCGATACACCTCTAGCATCAAAACAATCATTAATGCCAAAGGAGAGAATAAGAAAGGCTTATTTATGTATTTAATGGTGCTGGGAATTAAACCCAGGGCCTGGTGCATGCTAAGCATGCACTGTATCCCTGAGATACACCCAGTCCCAATAATACAACGTTTTAAATCACTAGAAACAATTCTCTCAAATAAGACACACTCTCATTTCTCTAAGCCCAGGTTTGGTCTAAGGTTGTTCATTATGAGAATCTTTAATGTTTCTTCTCTATATACTTTTCTGGTCACTGTAACTCAAAAAGGAAAAATATATGTGTATATAGAGAGAGTAGTTAAAGTCCAAACATGGGTGTAGTGGCACACACCTGCATCCCAGCAACTTGGGAAGCTGAGGTACAAAAATTGCAAGTTTGAGGCCAGCCTCAGAAACTTAGCAAGGCTCTAAGCAACTTAATGAGATCCCATCCCAAAATTTAAAAAATAAAAAGGACTGGGGATGTGGCTCAGTGGGTAAAGTACCCCTGGGTTCAATCCCAAGTACCAAAAAAGACAGAAACCAAAAGGGGGTCCAGAGAAGAGTAACAAAGTGTTAAGGAGAAGTTTCAACCAAATAGTCATAGGGGCTGGGGATATAGCTCAGTTGGTAGAGTGCTTGCCTCGCATGTACAAAGTCCTATGTTCAATCCCCACCAAAAAAAAAAAAAAAAAAGTCCAAATAGGGTTGTTGTCAAAATAAATGGGAACTAAATAAATAAATAAACCATCCTGTATTAAACTATATGTAACAAAGTTTTTCACTGTAACCATTTACGTGTACAGCTCAGTGGCATTTACTGCATTGACACTTAGGCAATCATCACATCCATCCATCTCCAGATATTTTTTCTTTATCCAAAACTGAAGCTCTGTAGTCACTGAGCAAGAATTCCTCATTCCCTTGCCCTTTCGACTACCCCTCTACTTTGTTTCTAGTCTACCTACCTCATATTGGTAGAATCATATAGTATTTATCCTTTTGCTCCTGAGTTATTTCCTGCGTTCATGTGACGTGGTGTCTTCAAGGTCCATCCATGTTATTGCATGCCGCTTGTGTCAGAATTTCCTTTCTTTTTTCTATTTTTTAAATTTTTTTCTTTTTGCAGTGCTGGGGATTGAACCCAGGCCTCATGTTTGCTGGGAAAGTGCTCTACCACTGAGCTATACCCCAGCCCCTCCTTCCTTTTTAAAGCCATTTAATATCCCAATGTATGTAGATAGTACATTTTATTCTTTTTTAAAAAAATATTTATTTTTTAGTTGTAGTTGGACCCAAAACCTTTGTTTTTAGTTATTTATTTTTATGTGGTGCTTAGGATCGAACCCAGGGCCCTGCACGCGCTAGGAGAGCGCTCTACCTCTGAGCCACAACCCCAGCCTGTACATTTTATTCTTCACTCATGTGTTGATGGATGTTGAAGTTGTTTTTACTTTTTGACTTGGTGAATAATGCTGCTTTAAATATTGGTGTACAGTTCTCTGGTTTGATTTAAATTCATTTGGATATGTATAGAAGTAGAATTACTGAATCAGTGATTTTATGTTATTTGATTTTTTGTGTAGCACTGAGGATATGAAATTGCTGGGTCATATGGGAATTTCGTGTTCCTTTTTGAGGAACCACAGTGACTACACCAATTTACATTTCCACCAGCAATGCTTAGAAGATCCAGTTTTCCATATTCTCTCTAGAACTTGTTGTTTTCTGTTTTTCTTTTGTTTTTGTTTTGTCTTAATAATAACTGTGCTCGTGGATATAAAGTGGTATAAATGGGGACTTTTCTACCTGGAAGAAAGAGACTGGGGGGGATACAGGTGCGTAGAGTTGTGAAGACTTCTGCCTGTATGTACAGATATGGTCACCAGAATCTAGGGATTAAGAATTTGGGCAAGAACCAGTGAAACTCCAAGTCATGTACAATCACAAGAATGGGATCCTAATTAGAATAAATTATGCTTCATGCATGTATAATATGTCAAAATACTGTCATGTCTATCTAAAAAGAACAAATAGAAAAAACAATCTGGGCAAGGAATACAGGCAGAGTATTAAATGGTGTAGTGTAGGTACTGACCAGTCAAGAAGGCCACCGGCCCTTTGCCTTCCTCATGTGTATAGGCTGTATAGGTCAGCCTGGATGGGACCATACTGGGCTATACTGCGGTTAATTTGAAATGATGAAAAAAGTGACTTCTCACTCCAGTTATATTGTCTCATAATGGGGACACAAGCTCAGATAGAAATAGCTTCTAGAATAATAAGTTTGGATACTTCACAAATGGGTGGTTAAAAATTTGAGAATTCTGTGTAATTTACCTCTTTACTTTTGAAGTTAACAGAGATGACTGTACCTCTGTTTTTACCTTCAGTTAGGAATTTGAAGCTCTCTGGACTCTTCTTGGAGGTCCTTGTGGCAATCACAGGGGGATGAAATTACTATTTCAGTTATTTAGCATTCAGCCAATATTTACAGTCCGCTTGTGCGCCAGGCCTGGCGATAAGTGCTAAGAATAGGATGGGGAGTTAAGCAACCCCTGTCCTTGTCCTTGTGGAACCATGGTCAAGTGGAGGAGTCAGATAACTGGTCACACAAAGAGATTGGTAATTCCTACTGCATCTGACTCCGTAAAGGAGAAATACTTGAGACACTTCTCTCTTTCCCCTTGGATTGTTCACTCAGCCACTCAAAGAAATCTGCTTTCTTTTCTCTTCAGGAGCCTCCAAACAGGTGGCTTTGCCTGGGAGGGCGAGGTGGAGAACAACGCTTATAGCAAGGCTACCGGGGTGGCTCCCCAACACAAATACCACCCCACGGCAGGCAGCTACCAGCTGCATTTTGCTCTCCAGCAACTGGAACAACAGAAACTTCAGTCCCGGCAGCTTCTGGACCAGAGTCGAGCCCGGCACCAGGTAATTCAAGACGAGCCCTTCCATGTGCTGTCTCTTCCTTCTATTGGTAAAAAAAAAAAAAAAAAAAAAAAAGAGTGAACGGGCAATGTAGAGTTAACATCCTGAAAGGTTTGTAGGGAGTCTCCTCTCAGAACCGTTCTGTAACCGTAACATGGCCTTCACTGGAAGGTGATGTGGAACCATGCGTGACCCAGTTCTTTCATTTGTGTGTACGAAAGTCCCTATTGTAGTCTTTCCCCTTTCTGTTATGTGCTCTTAGTTCAGTAACTTGCCAGGGCTCTAATTCCAAAATACCTAAAAGCCAGTATGTTAAGCATCTTTCTTTCTAAATGTACTCTTTCTCTTCTTCCATAGAGTTGGTATACATATGTACATATTGATCCATCAAGGAATAAATAACTTGGAAATGGTCACAAGTTAGATTACCAGTCTTCTGTAAGTGACAGCTGTTTATTCAACAGATGTTTTGTCAAATGCCTATCACAGGCTAGGCAATGTTTTATTAAACAGTGGGACTTTAACAGGACCCAACACGCAAGCATCCTTGTGCTACGGAACTTAGAGTGAAATCTTCATTCCCTGCTCACTGTCTGTGAAATAACAGAAACCCCTGAGCATATGTGTGAGGAGCTGTGCAGTATATCACACTAATCTGTCGGCATGTCCCCAATCATTTAGAAGAAGAAGGGACTTACAAAAGGTCCGGTCACTAAGAATTAGCTTTGTCTTGATGATTCAGGATTATCATTAGAATCATTTACATGTTCTACAGATGTATTAAACTGAATTAATACTGATTCTGTAAGCTTCCCTATTTCCCTGTTTAAAAAAAACAAACAGGGAAATAGGGAAGCTATTGATTAAAAAAAATCAGTGGACCTTTATTTTATTTATTTATATGCAGTGCTGAGAATCAAAGCCAGGGCCTCACACATGCTAGGCAAGCGCTCTACCACTGAGCCACAGCCCCAGCCCTCCCTATATTTTATGGAAAAAAAATACCTTCTATCAGTTTGATCGCTTATCACTTGCTTCTTTTTTTATAAAAATGTAGTTCATGGTATACATCAGTTAGTGCTGAATTAAGACTTATTCAATGATAAAGGAAGCATTTCCCCAAGGTTTTTTATCCTCTGATCCTCTAAGTGAATTAATTATCATTATGCCCTGTATCTTTACTTTTTTCATTACTATCCAGAATAACATAGGATTATTTAATTTTTTTCAACATAGTTCATCACATGATTACCTTTATCTCTGGTATTTACTCTGTAAATTAACACATCATAATTGAGAAATGATAAATTCAAACATTTGTGAAATAGTTCTTTAAACTGTTTTTTTTCTTTTAGTTGTAATTGGACACAATACCTTTATTTTATTTACTTATTTTTATGTGGTGCTGAGGATCGAACCCAGTGTGCTCTACCATTGAGCCACAACCCCATTCCCTCTAAACTGTTTTTAATGGAGAAATTTCCAGACTTTTCAATCTGGAAGTGTAGAATATGGCATCTCATTCTGATCACATTATCCTTTGCCATGTAGAAATTGCCTCATCTAGAAAATCTTTGGGACAGTAGAAGCACGTAAGCCAGTTTGCATTTTCACAATTGCAGATAGAAATGTGTGTACTAGTTTTGTTGTTGTTGTTGTTGTTTTAAATCTGCGCACATTTCCTAAAGTGTTTTACACTTCCAAACTTCCTGTCATTTGAGTCCTTGAGAGTGCCACCTTGATCAGGTGCTGGATAGTGGAGACTTTGCTGTTCAGCCTTACTTCCCTCGTGTGGCTCCAGGGAATACAGACAGTTGGTCCCTTTTAAGCCACACTTCAGTACCTTGAAATAGTGGATACTTTTTTTTTTTTAAATGAAAGGAGATATTTTGCAGGACATTAAAGTTTGGGGGAAAGAGAGGCAGTTTTGCTGATTTTCACTTTGAGAAACTGCTTTACTTTTAAGTCCCTCTCATGCTTTTGATTAGCTTCCAGCAACTCACATTCCTTTGAAAATTTAGAGTACTGCTGTTCTTGTGTGGATTTTTTTTCACTGAGGATTACACTGGTTTAGTTTCACTGAATTATGAAGTATATGGAAAATATGTTTTTTAGAATCTGTCAGAATATCCATCTTAAGGAGGAGGCAGAACTCCCAAGAAGGGAGTTATCGCGTGTCTCCTGGAGAAGGAACAGAAAATCATTCATCATGATTTTATATATGTATATAACATCATTTTGTTCCTTCTCCCTGTTTTTATAAACCACAACTGATTTAGGTAAGAGTGAGTAAGGGTGAAGTTTTAGGTCTGTCGGGAGAGCTAGAGAAACTAAATTCTGTGAGCTTAAGGAGTTTATAACTAATTAAATAGCAAATAAGATATTAAATGTTCTAACATGAAGTATATTTAGTAACTTAGAGCACTTTTTTTCAGAGGATATTTAGAATCACTCCACAGGGAAAAAAAAAAAAAACGCCACTCATTTAGATTTTTAAGCCTTTGGTTTTAGCTTATCTGTGCTAGACCCGCCTGAGAATTATCACCAAATTGTTGTTTTCATTCTGAGTCTGTCCTGTATTTCTGTCCTTGAGATAATCCTTTAGATAGAGATGGTACTTCTCTAATAAACTCCTTGCACATTGGAGTCACTTTCCTTGAATATAGGTTATAAAATTTGGTTAGCTTCCTGTTTCAGACTGGTGACCAGAATTAAAATCAAAGTTACCTAGCATCAGGCTGGGGATGTGGCTCAAGCGGTAACACGCTCGCCTGGCATGCGTGCGACCTGGGTTCGATCCTCAGCACCACATAAAACAAAGATGTTGTGTCCGCTGAGAACTAAAAAATAAAAAAAAAAATTCTCTCTCTCTCTCTCTCTTAAAAAAAAAAAAAAGCTACCTAGCATCTATCTAGAAGAGAAACATGATTTTTTGGAACAGGATGTTAAGGGGGTCTTCTTGGATGGTATGGTATGGAATGGTATGGTGGTATGATATAGTCATTGTTGTTACACATAGTGCCTTGCATACAGTGATCTCCTGAATACGTTTGGGGAAATATCATGTGGCCTTTCTCCCATTATATGCAAAGAAATTCGCCCATCCTCTTCTGCCTCTAATCAGAGCACTTAGCTTTCCAGCTGGTTGCAAGTGTTCATGTCAAGCAGGCCCTCGGATTCAGGCTGTGAGTTTGAACATGGGCATCTCTGACCACTGATACAGAGTGAGTTTGGGTCTTCATCTCTATCTAGCGTTGTGCTTACTCAGAAATACAGAAATCATCATGACCTGAATCCACCCCTGCAGAAGACTGAGCCTGTGACCTGGAAGTGAGAGGAAAGTAACACTGAGCCATTGGCAGAGGTATCCAAGGACAGATACAAGAAAATTGGGTGTGATCCAGTCCTTTTGATGAAGAGCATGATAAAGAAAAAAAAGACAAAACTGAAACTATGAGCTGTTATGCCCTGATGGATGAAACTTCAGCAATTTGAAAAACACTGTTTTAAGTCAATGCAGAGTCCATGACTTTTTCTGCAAATAGCCAGATAGTAAATATTTTAAGCTTCGTAAGACATAGGGTCTCCATTACAGCTACTCAATTCTGCCAGGGCAGAGTAAAAACAACCATGTACAATATGTAAACGAATGAGTATGGCTGTCTTCCAATAAAACTTTATTTACAAAAAAGACTGCAAGCTGGATTTTTCCTGCAGGCCCTACTTTGCAGACACCTAGTCTATAGCAACATCTACTTAAAGAGCTAGTTAAAACTAATCCCAGCTACTTGAGAGGCGGAGGCAGAAGGATTGCAAGTTTGAGGCCAGCCTCAGCAACTTAGCAAGGCCCTACTCAACTTGGTAAGACCCTGTCTCAAAATAAAAAGAGCTGGGGATGTGGCCTAGTGGTTAAGTGCCCTGGATTAAATCCCAAATACCAAAAAAAATAATAATAATAATAATTAAAATTTTAAATTAAATTTTCTTCCCTCAGTTATTTGTTTTCTGTCTTTTGGAAGGAAGACAGAATGTGTTAAAATTTAATGTCGCCCTTATAAAATATCAGGCAATCATTTTTATAGAACTTTGTTGCCATCTTTTTCACTTCATCGACCACAGTATCCTCGTAAATAAATTATCAAAATACCTCTTTTCTCATTCTTATCAGGGTACATTCTGCTCTCTAATCTCAGCTCCCAGGATTCAAGTCTCTGGGTGGGCAAGAGAGAAATAGCAGGACAGATTCCCTGCTGTTTTGTTAGTAACAAGCCAGCACTTCATAAGCACTTACTGCATCCCAAGTTCCTTTCCCAAGCACTGTTCTATTCTAGGTGTTGTTCATATATTAATTGATGTAAGATGAGTTTCAGGATGTTGGGGGGCAAGGCCAGAGTCTTGGTTGTTGGGGACCGCGAGGGGCTGCTATAGACTGGCACAGCCATCGTGTGTCGGCTCCTGCCCCGAAGGACAAGGCAAAAACACTCTTCTTTCAGCTGAGTCGGGGGCCCTGCTTGAGCAACAGTGACTACCGGTGACATCAGCATGAGTAGCTCTGCACGCTGGGGTCCGTGAGAGGCCCGGCTGACCTGATTCTAATTGCCGACATGGAGCTGATGTTATTCTTGGCGCGGGCCAAAGCGATTACTCAGTAGTTTCTGTTCAAGTGATCCTTTGTTACACTTGTGCTCCCAACCCATTCCCCACCCCCCACCGGGGCCTTCCCTCCCTCTCTTTTCTGCCTCATCCAGACCAAAAAAAGAGCCCAGAAAGCAGAAAATTAAGGACATTTTGATGGTCATGGCAAAACTGCTGGTTTCTTTGATTGACAACAGGGGAGAGAAGCGCTTTAAACCAGCTTAGTTCTTGAGCGGCTCTGTTCTCTTTCCAAAGCCCTTCAGTTTTTAGCAGACTTAATTTTCAGCATGAGTAAGGTGACTCAAGGTAAGAGAAAACTGCATCCCAAGTACCTCTCATCCTTCCACATGTCTGCTCTTTTCCCTTCC